TATATATATTTATATAGATGATGCAAATTCACTATGAAACTATTCTCCCCTCCACTTTTAATCGAATTTTCATTGATTGTTGACAAACGATTCGAAGTTGGATTCATGTGTAAAGAGCATAAGTCTTCAGCTTATCTATTTTCACTGTTTATGGTCTGAAATCCAATAAAACCTTTTCTAATTAGCGGTTTACTTGCAGCTATACGTTTGCTGAGACACAGTTTTACTGATGTGTATGTTGCTTTATTGGAAGTAATAGTCACCACTGTGTTTATAGAAATGTCTTTGGCATGGTCTACACTCGACAGTCATCTAGTCCAGCGTTTATCCATCTTTTCGATACCAGAGCCCATTTCGCTGCCTCCCCAAGCTGTCGAAGAACCACGAAAAATATTAGAATTTTCACGTGAACACTCTGTTAGTTTTTCGTTTTTATTTGTTTATTTTGATGGAATCTCAAAGACCGGTAAGATGATTGTGACCGAAAAGCGCTGATCCAAGGACAGGTGGTTGAGAAACACTGAACTAGTTAATAAAGAGTATACCCTAAAACTCTTAAGATTATTTATAGAGAGTTTCCTTTTCTAACTCGACCATTTTTGAATATTATTGACAGTGCAAGTTTCAGGTACTTTCTTCAAAGTCTTGTTCAACTTCTAGTGAAAAATATAGTTTTGCTATAATGTTTCAGAATGAATATCTTTGATCAACCAAAAAGTTGAGTTCTACGTGCTCGTCATGAGGTATTTATGTCCTCGGAGTCATAATTGGATTCACATTGCTATTACACGGTACAGTATGATAGCTTGTACTTTTACAAGTACTGTACGTTGGTCAGATGACAACCAATCACAAGGTAAATAATGAGTAGGTGACTGTACTGTGGGGCAGTTTATTTTCACACGATAAAGGGGTAGCATTCACGCAATATTTCGTTTTATTCCAATTTTCATCACCATTTCCATGAACATATATATACAATATGTAATACATAAATATGTATGTGTGCGTGTGTACGTTTACATAGAAGTGTAGAACTTGTGAACAACTATATATATTTATATTCTTAAATGTCCGTGTTCATCGATACGACAGACTGTTGTGTGGTTTGTTTTATTGCACTCCCATACAAAACTACTGGATGAAATTGTTGAAACTTGAGATTCTTCTTTAAATCATAAAGATTCAGTAGACTATTTTTTATTTGTAATATTTGTATTCATTTCATGCTTTAAATTTTTTCATTGTAATTTATTTTGTTTTTAAGAAACAATTAAAATGCCTACTTTTGTTGTAGATTTCAATTACTGATATTACCTACCACATTCTTGTAAAACTTAGCAAGGAAGTTTATATTCTACAGTATCTGTTACATTTGTATTAATTTGAATAGAAACGTGCATAGTTTCACTGTTTTTATGATCACAGGCGTACAATAATTTTTTTTTTTACTATACCGAAATCATAAATAGGCCGAGATTTAATTTAATGTAGGCAAAAAAAATGTATAACGAATGAAGCTCATCTTATATGTAGACGCCTATACTATAGTTGCATATTCTAAAGACTTGGATATTTTAGTCTCAGTAGTCTTCTCTATCTTGGATTTCCTTTGGGCGAGGCTTCGTGATTGCCGAGGTCTTAAGAATATTTTTATTTTCAAATTCACCACGTTGGATTCATACATCTTACAGCGTTTAAAAGTGGATTATTGGTATTTATTTTCTAAAAAGAAAATCGAAACCTCAACAAAATGTTAAAACTCTCATATTCCCTAACAAAGTGTGTTCGTGCTCAACTCATTAGCAAGCGTTGTCTGCTAGCCCAAAATCGTCTCTTACTGCACTGTTGTTGTTATATGTTGGAGTTTATCTTCACTCCAAGCGAGACAAAGCTCTTTCAAATTTGCTTTAAAATTTTAAGCCTAAAACTGTATATCGCTGGACTAATAAGTTTAGTTTGTTGCTGTGAATAGCAACTTAGGCTTACTACTAGTAGTTTTGATCGCATATTTAATTAGTGCCGTGCGCGCAAAATAGCTTATCTTATATTTTGAGCTAGCGTTGCCCTAATTAATTCATTAGTTCATTGCGGACTGGACCATCTAATAGGCCTAAGTGAATGATTTCAGTACTTTGTTGGACAAAAAATATAATATGTTAAGGGTCTGGGTGTAGGCCCTATCGACTTGCCCCTTAAAAATGAAAAATCAGCTAATTATAGGCCTACAGCGGTATGACCAATAATATAGTATATATTTATGCACACCTAATTGTAAGCCTATTAGAAAAGCTAGGGTGGGAAGTTTGGTGAGAGACGATGGTAATGAAATATAATGCAGACAATGATATGCACTTTAAAATAAAATAATGTACTCGAGCATAACTTGGTATCGATGACTAAAACTTCCAGATCTCTTTTAATGTTTTTCAAATATAACGCTTTTTAAAATATAAAGAATTGTGTGGACCTCACCCTATATGTCCTAGTACTAGTTCGTTCATTGCACTAACTGCTAGTTATTTCTTGTTATTCATTTATACATACATACACACACACACACACATATATATATATATATACAAACACACACACATAAACATAAACGCATTTGTTTCCCCGAAAGGGGACCAAAGCTGCTTGGAAGGGTCACCTATTTTAACCACCCTCACTACTACACAGTAATGTGTTGTCTGTCAGTCAGTCAGTAGACACTAAAATGACGTCACATAATGGACGCTTAATGTTGCAATTTGTACTATCGTGACGTCAGTAAAACGTGCGCATGTTATGAATTACGAGTGGAACATACATGCTGTAAGCTACAACACAACATGGCATGCGAATTTCAAAAGCAAGAAATAAAAACGTTTGTTACTGTTAATTTTGGCTCTATTTACTTTTGAAAAAAGAACACTTTCAGAGACCTTGCGGAAGTACATCTAGTATAGGTATATACATTACTTTTTTCCGTTGATTTTATTTTGCCCATAGCAGTTACTGAAGACGAGAACCTAAGTTAAACACGGTCTAACAACTGTGGGCCTTGTCGGTGAAAAGAAAGGATAAAAATCGATTGCAAAGCTATCTAGCTAAGGTTACCTATTCTTGTTCGACAAAAACGTTTATTCTCCTTTCATACTGCAATATTATATGTAATTCAAATAAAATATAGAATGATTAAGAAAACTTTAAAAATTCAGAACTGTAATTTTGGCAGAAGAAAGTCTATAAAGAAGCAATCTAGCAACATATCACCAAGCTAAGCTTTGATCACTTTGTACGTACTTTTACCCGAGTCTTCACTGAAATGTAAGTCATATTAGCTTGTACAGTTGAAATGAACAGAAAAAAGAAGAAGCTTTTGTTACATTTTTTGAACACTAGCCCATGACTTCTCAATACTAAGATATAGGCAATTACATCACACCATGATAACCGATTGATTAAACATTGATAGAACTGCACTTGTATTGAAGGTATAAGGTTCAAATTAGCGTTGTTTTGTTGAAACATATTTCTACTTTGTTCCTAGTGAGCTACGAGTGTTGTATTATAGTCAAAAATTCAGGAGATACACAAACAATATATTATTTGCTGTAAGCGCGTTGAAATCAACCCAAAATAAATAAAAAATACATGTGTACTCTTAAACTAATATATCTTTATTTAATAAGTTTCAGTTGTAAAGTTGTTGGTTTTTAAATGTATGGTGGGACAGTTGATTTTTTATATGTATATTTTTTTTAAGTTAATGGTGCACTGTTGTCCTCTGGGCATGAACTATGCCAGGTACCGTAGTGATATATTCATATTTTATATATATTGTTAACATTGTATGATTAATTTACTTATTTTATAAACCTAATGTTTGAGTTATTGTATATTTAATTCTCTTACTCCTATCGAAAACACTGTTATGAACCTTCATCATATGAAAGGCAATTTGATTAAGAACCTCATGATTACCATAACATTGTGGAACATTGCGTAATGTGCAACGATTAACTGTGAATTAAACAGAATAAGTACAGTAGATGGTGCATTAAATCAATAAATTAAATACTTATATTTATACACATGAATAATTATAACAAAAATAAGGTATGGAATCGTACATTATTTACAGGCATTATAATAAAAACGAAAATTTAAGGACTTTGAGGTAACATAAAGGTAAAACTAACAAATCTCACCTAAACGAACTATTTCAAGTAAACGTAATTAATTATTTTATGTAGCACATTAAATATATATAGTAATTGAGAGACAATACTAAGAGCATAGAAAGTTTAAAGCTCAAAACTATTTTCAATCTAAACACCGTACATCCTACCGGAATACAATATAATTCTATATGCAAATAAGCTTTCTTTAGAAATATACATTGTTGTGTAAGTATTTAAATTTATATTTTTCTAGGTCTTAAAATAAATGTAAATACATTGGGCAACAAAACAAGAGGCACGAAAGCTCGCACTTATATTTTACACATATTAATTTACATGTGTTATGAGTTTTAAAAAATACTCTTTATTGTTGAGCTTGTGAAAGTTGTTACTATTACGCTGAATACGTTCTATACTTTCCACTGACTTTAAATGTGGAGATAATCCATAATCGTCTACTTGTAGTGTAGAAGATAAGGGGTAAATCTACCAGAAAGGCACAGGGATTAGTTAATTCAGACATATAACTTTTTAGTGTTGTCCTTTTTTGTAATTTTCTGTGTTTAAAAATATTGCCATTTTCTCTAATTAGAGAGAGCTGTAAGGTCACCAAAACGTAATAATAAATTTGTCTTGTCGCTTACAATCGGCTAATATCACATGTGAGGATTTCTCTAAGTAACACCGAAAATGCTTAGAATTTATACCAGATCATTATTTCACTTCTTTTATCTCTATATAAAGCCTGTAATGAAGTTTCTCGCAAAAAGTGTATATCCGAAATTATTAAAAACGTGCATACAAGACTAAAAAAAATAAAAGTTCTCTTACACGAAACGGCCATATGAATATCGTTGCTCTGCCCTTTTCCAATCACATTATCAGCTACGCAGTGATAAATGCCGTCTTGCGCTCGTGTCACATTTCTCAGAATGAGAGATGGTCCTTGGATTACGATACCATTCACTGGATTTGAAATTAATATCTTCCCGTTGAATTTCCACAACAACTCCCGAAATTGAGGGTTAGCGTTTATATTACACTCGAGGTAAACATCTGTTCCTTCTTGAATTACATTATTTTTATCACTAGTACGCAACGTCAAGGACAGAAGAGGTTCATCTACAAAAATAAGGGAATATTATTGTGAATGTTTTTTTTTTCATTTTGTAGTTTTATTTTCCTATTTATACAAACTTGCAACCGTAATTAGTAAAACTGTTTAGGGTCGTTTGTTTTATAAAATTCCTGTACAAATAGATATATGTGGTAACGTCTTGAAATTGTTCACCCAAACTTTTACTGACTTTCTTAAGATAGGCGTAAAAATAATCCTCTCCAAGCCTCTGCTGGTTCAAAGTAGGCTTTTTCATACGTGTTCTCTATCTCTCATGTATTTTATGTTACGGAATATCAAACAGATATTCTTGCCTCACCTACAATTTTGGAGGAAAGTTAGCTCTTCTATCTCCTGTTGCCATGCCTATTCTCAAGTCAAATAATACAAAATGATGCCTGATCTAAACTGATAATACCTTATAAGAACAAGTGACACAGTCGTAATAGTTCTAATATTTTAGATAGTTATGACTGTGGTTATTTACTTGCTTTTTAGTTTGTCTTTCTCGAATAGAATATCTAACATTGCTATTTTGAGAGAGTATCCAATACACTTCTTTTTACCTCCAAATACCGATATTTAGTTTTGTCTAGCGAAGTTTGTTTGTTTGCCTTATAAGCCCTCAGGATTACCAATGAAGGACAAAAGTGGTTTACTGAGGACAGCTTTTCTTTTCTAATAAAGTTGATTCGCAGAAAGTAATATAGTTTTCATTCTCTATAAGAATATTACAAATAGCTTATTTAATAAGAAAAATATTTGTATAGAAAGATTTACAGAAATCACCGTAGATTTAATATTTTTGCCAGAACCATCGACAAAACGATCACTGTAAGTAATGCAATTCATCTTTTTGTTCGCTATTTTTATTTACAGTATACCTGATAAAATGTTTTCTCTTGTGGAACTTCTGATTGAACGATTCGCTGAAAGAAATGCAATGTTGTCTCCGAAAGAATATGATGCAAAACGGAAATTGTCAAATAACATATTTTTTGTTGGAATTGTTTATATTTCATTTATATATTTCTTTGAAAGGAAACTAGTGTATTACCTTGAACAAGCAAATTTATCATGCTTTATGGTTATTACTATTATATCCAACATGCCATATCTGAAATAATGATAAATATTGTGCGCTTATTCCTTGTTTTTTCCTACATTTACCTCAAGATTAATAAAAATATATTCCATGTATAGTGGCATGCAAAAGAATTCACCCCTACCAATAATGTCACATTTTGATGTATTACAAATAGTGTAAACAGTTTTTTAATGAACTTGTTTTAATTCAAAACTCTAGTGATCAAACGTAACACTGTTATGTGTAAAGGAGGTCGAATGCCAACAAAACCTGCAAATAAAATATATAAATTGAAATTTGCTAATTGCATAAGTATTCAGACCCCTAAGTCAGTATTTGGTGGAAGCACCTTTGGCAGCAATTATTGCTGTGAGCCTTTTTGAATAGGTATCTACCAGATTTGCTAATGGGATGGTGTAATTGTTGCCCATTCTTCCTGGCAAAATTGCTCCAATTCTAACAAGTTCGTTGGGGTTCGTTGATGGAACGCAATTTTCAAGTATCACCATAAATTTTCTATTAGATTCAAGTCAGGACTTTGACTGGGCCAATCTAGAACATTCATTTTATTTTTTGAAACCACACCAGTGTGGCGTTAACCTTATGATTCGGGTCACTATCCTGCTGAAATGTGAATTTTCAACCAAGTTTTAGATTCTTGGATGACTCGCCTGTACTTTGCACTATCCATCTTCCCCTCAATCCTGACAAGCTTCTAACTCCCTGCTAATGAGAAGCATCCCCATAATATGATGATGCTACTACCATGCTTGACAGTTGGAATGTTGTTATAGTGGGTAATGTGCTTGAGCTTGCACCAGATGTAACGCTTTGAATTTAGACCCAAAAACTCAATTTTGTCCCATCTGACCACACAACTTTCTGCCACATGTCTGCAGTAACATTTACATACTTTGTCTCAAACTCCATATGAGATTTAAAATGATTGTTTTTCAGTGGTGTCATCTTTCTTGCCATTCACTTTTCCGGGACAGCTTTGTGTAGGGACCGGGACATTGTCAATGTAAGAACCTGAGTCCCATCCTATAATTGGAACTTTGCAAATCTTTCAAAGTCACTGTTGGCTTCACAGTGGCATCCCTAACACTTTTCCTGCTTGCCCGGCTGCTTAGCTTGGTAGGGCGACCTAATTTGGCCAGTGACCGGTGAGTATGAAGCACATTCCACTTCTTAATGATGGACTTCACCGTACTCAAAGGGATAATAAGCGACTTTGAAATTATAACCTTATTCCGATCTGTGATTCTCTGCCACTCTATATCTGAGTTGTTTGGAAAGCTCCTTGATTTTCATGGTTGGTTTGTTGTATCACTGTGTGAGTTGTGGCTTGAAAGGATACATGTACTGTGAAATCAAGTTAAACCACTTTGATTACACACAGACAGAGACAATTACAATAATTTTTTTACCTTTCAAACGAATCTTTTGCACCTGAATTGATTTAAGGTTGCCGTAGCAAAGAGGTTGAATACTTAGGCAATTGGAAATATTCTAATTTTCTTTGAACATCTAACTTACATAATTTAAAGTTCAATTTAAAAGTTTCATGATTGCAAGCTCAGACAGCAACAAAATGTGGAACTCTGCAGGTGTGAATCCTTTTGCAAGTTATTGTATGCTTCAATACAGTACGAGTAGAAAAGTTTATTTATTAATATTTCTTTTTTTCATTTATAGAACTAAAGTTTATGTAAAAAATAGATAACTAATTTGCTAAGCAAATTATAAATGCTATTAATGATATTATTTCTGTAAAATGGCAATCACTATTATGATTATGCTTCCTAGTTTACAAATTGAATTTACATAGTTAAAAGTTTTTTCTTATTTAGTTCAAAACTAAACAATGGGCTAATCTGTGCTCTTTACACTGTAGGGTATCAAACCCTAGAGTTTAGCGTTTTGGTTCATAAATTTACTGCTGACAAATTAGGGGACAGCAGAAAAAAAAGCAGCTACCCATTCCCAAACAATATAAAAACACATCTTGGTGCTTACATTGCACATCGAGCTTCCACGAATCTTCTAAGGTACTTTCTGGCAAACGAGGATTTTTTGCCTGGCAAACGAGTGTTTTTCCATTATCACCAATTTTTGGGGTGATGGTAATGTAACTAGTCGTTATTCTTGTGCTGTCTGTCAGAGGCTTATTGTACTGTTTCATCTTTTTTCCTTCCATCCACCAAGTTACTTCTGCTAGTGGAAATGAGCCGTTAGTCTGGCACATAATCTCAGCTGCACTTCCAGAAACAAGAGGATTTTTTGGTGCTGAAATCCGAACAATCTGAGGCTTCACTGGGCAAAGACATTTAGTGGTGAAACACGAAATAGAGAATTACCTATATAATAACATATTTTTTTTATGTTAACACATCTTTTGTTTCAAAAATTTATGCTTAATATCCTTCAACCAACTTCACAGTGCTACGAAAATCATCTAAAATATATAAAATATATAAACGAACACCTCAAGTACATTATAAAAAAATCATTATTCGGAAAACAACGTCTTAACTTAAACACTTCCCAACTCATCAAGGACAGCTTTTGTATATTAATGTATAAAATAACAATAATGATTAAAAGAAGAATGTTATTCACCACTACTCACAAACTAAGTCAAGTTCCACGGTTACAGATGCTGGGATGATTGAATCTGTATTGGAAGCGTTGCACGTAAATGCCCTAAAAGAGTAGTTTCTGTGTACGTAAGGGATGACTAATGTATTCGCAACAATCTCTTCCGAAACTTTCCAGTAAGTATCGTCAAGCAAAGTAGATCCATGCCACCAAATAACAGAAGGCGGAGGTTTCCCTTGATTAGAAGCATAATTTAAGGTGTATGAAGTGAAATGGCAATAGAGAATGAGTTACATAAATACAAACAAGTATTTGTTTCGATGTCGTAATATAGTGAAGCATTGCTCTTAAATAATACCACTATAGTGTATCTACATATATATGCATTATTACTTTAAAATATTCTGATAATATTAATGTTAAATATCTAAAACCTTAGAAATTCACTTATTTCTAAAGTTTCAATCTTTCGTATTTTAAATTTCAGCTTATATAACATATCATCATTACTTACAGCAAGTAAATTCACTTGTAGAGCAAGAGTGAAAGTTATTGCTAAATGACCACACTCATACGTACACGTGAAAGATATACACAAACTGAACACATTCGCAAAAGGGAGCATCTAGATTTAAACAACATATTATTTAACTTTAATTTCTCACCTCCTGTAGCTTCACATGTCAGGTTTAGAAAACTATCCTCTTCAATCGGACCTACGCTGCCATCATTAAATATTTGATCGCCATGTCGGACGTATATTTCTTTAGGAGGCACTAAAATGAACATCACATAAAATCACAATATGTTACTCAAGTGCAGGCTTATGCAACTATGCTATTTTTGTTGTAATGGGTAAATTTAATTTTTTTAGGCACGCCAGTTGAGCATATACCAGTCTAATGATAAATTTCGTAATCTTGGCAAGTAAGGAAAGTAATCCATGTTTTATTTTGTACATCGTTCATTTGCCTGAAGAACTTAAGTGTTAAATCAAATAGTCGCAATTGAAATACGTTTAAGGAGATGTAAAATTGATTCATTTGTTTTAACTTTCTCGGGTTTTAAAGTTTTCGAAACTCAATAATTCTTCCATGAAACATACTCATGCATCGATAACGTATCAAAGACCAAATAAGATCAAAGAGCAGTTCCATGAACTCATGATTCCAAATTGCATTAACATTCTCGTATATGAATATTTTTTGTCTGTGTTTCACAATAGGCTATATGCACTCTGTTCACCGCTAGGAAAATCGAACTCCAGATGTTAACAATATAAACTTACCGCTGACCCACGGCGGACCAATGATTCAGTTAAAGGTTAAACCTGAATACACTGAACTATTAGTCTCGTTCCTTACACGAATTCACTTATTGTAGAGTGTAATAAATTAATATATATTAAGTAATATTTTTCGAGACCTTGGTATAAGCGAGTCAGCAATTATGAAGTTATTCTTATCTTATTGGTAGATGGATACTCTATCCGGACTGTGAATAAGGGGATTTATGGTTCGCGTCACGATGCCGTAAAAACTTACTTCCTACTTTGTGGCTGTGAATGAGCAAAAAGAGTCACGTTGAAATTACACTATTGCATTATAATTGAAAGAATGGGATTTGAACTTGAACTTCAATCTAATTGGTCACTTCAAAATTAGGGAAGACTATGTGCAGATATCTCTTGTGTAACTTGGCGTGAAACTGTAAAAAAAAAAATCTTTGTTCATATGTTATTGAAGTGCTATATATTTAACATCTGTTACTATGGTTAATGTTTATATGTAAAAGTCTTTACCAACTTTTAAAATAATGGTTTCTTTATATAATTATAAGCGAAGAACACACGCAAGGAGATTACGTCTTTCTTTACTTCTGCTATTTTAAAATACATTATGCATGATGAAAAATCTACGAAGTCGAGTACATTATTATCATTAAACCATGACTTCCTGCACGTTAGCAAATACGTATAATTGATCTGAATGACAAAGTAGCCAAATTCTTGAGGTTTTTGTTTGAATACTGATGTTCTGATTCAACAAATTTTATTTTCTTTGATTCCTCACATCGAATCATCATCAGGAACTACACAAAGAATACTAAGTTTCTAACCATTAGAATAGTTAATATTTTGACGTGTTATCATGGAGCAGTAGTCGACCATTTGTTAAAAGTAAGATATGCACTGAATAAGAATCTATAGTTTATACTAAATTTCTTAAAGCGTGAAAATGGGATAGGAAGGGTGTGTTTCTTGGAATCCTTAAAGCATTGCCACAAAGATTCCTTTAAAAGTTACGGAAAATTAAATGTTCAGTGACAAAACAATTGAGAACAGCAGGGTACTAAAAGCATTGACTCATAACAAAATAAATTCGGAGCATTTATTGAGGGTATTTTAGACAGAATTGAAACACGGAAAGATTTGGAATAGGCGTAATACATGTTGAGTACCAAAAATATTGTCTGTAAGTGTGATGTATAAAAATGTGAAAAAATGGTTTGAATTTCGCGCAAAGCTACACGAGGGCTTTCTGCGCTAGCCGTCCCTAATTTAGCAGTGATAGACTAGAGGAAAGGCAGCTAGTCAACACCACCCTCCGCCAACTCTTGGGATACTCTGTTATAATGTGACCGTCACATTATAACTCCTTTACGGCTGAAAGGGCAAGCATGTTTGGTGACAGGGATTGGAACCCGCGACCCTCAGATTGCGAGTCGAACTCCTTAACCACCAGGCCATGCCATGCCAATAAGCAATGAACAGCTTTTGGTAATATACAATATATCCAGCCAAAACCAGTAAATACCTAATAATACATAGTGATACAATAACTCTGAAATATAAAAATATACCTGTAATTACAAATAATTTTCGTTTTAACAGAGCCTTCTAGAACCACGAAAAGTTTTGATCAGACCAATGTACATGAGAATTGTCCCTATTTGATAGGGCAAATGAAACTCGTATAGACAAACCATCTGCTAAAAGAAATTTAAAGTATGCTATATACCAAATATATATATATATATTTAAAAAACAATATTATACTTTTTTGTACTGCAGTATTGAGAAGCTTTGCGGAAAATTATAGTTTTGTTTCTGGCTCGTTGATTTCTTGTATGGTGCATTGAGCAATTCTACTTTTTCCTAAATCTTGATAAAATATTTTTTTTGTTTGTTTCGCTTGGTCAGCAGCACTTGACTGCCTAATTTCCGAGAAAACGTAAAGGGTGATTTTTTATTATTTAACAATACACCTTTATAAAAAAAGTTAACAAATAGTTTGTTTGTTTTGAATTTCGCGCAAAGCTACACGAGGGTT